CAAGATAATATCCAGCCACCCAGTTTTAAAGCTTCATCATTACAGCACCTAAATGTTTTAGAATGTCATAATTACACATTTTCAAAGTTTCAATATATATTTAACAACTGTGTAAAAAAGCATCATGAGTGCATAAGAACTAGGTTTATATTAATTTTCAATGTCATTTATTTCTCCCCCCTAAAATAAATAAATGAAGTTGAATCAGCTACTTCAAAAAATTGCCGAGTTGGAATTTCTTTAGTATCAAATACTTAATTTAAATGATATTATATGGAAGTGTATACATGGAATAAAACAGAGCCTAACTGTCAATTGAAATAAAATTATGATTGAACCTTACTAGGGTCCACAGATAAATCCTTACATATACAGTGGCAAAAATGGATCCTTAACACCCCTGACTCATGTTCTGGGAGGGTACTTGCATTTTAGTATGGAAGATGTTATTGAAACAAGTGATTTAAGAAGGGGAAGGCAACAATGATCTTTAACCTCCTAGTTGCTTTCACACAATGAATATGGCTTTAGTATTTTTTCTTTTTTCTTTTTATGTATTTTTATTTTTCAATTACAGTTGACATTAGTATTATTTTATATTAGTTTCAGGTGTACAGCCTAGTGGTCAGGCATTTATATAATTTAAAAAGTGATCCCTGGTACGTCTAGTATTCACCTGGCACCATACATAGTTATTACAATATTATTATTTAAAAAAAAAACTTATTTAGAAAGACTGAAATGATTGTATGCTAATTTGAACAGCTGGATTTTACAATAAATGATGAAAACTCCTTGTTTAATGCAAGAGTTGGATTCCATTATACATGCTCTGTTCTTTCTTTAGACCTCCAACTGGAGTTGAGCAGAAATGTGGCTTACAGTTTTCCTCAAATCATTGTTGGGCTTCTGAGAAGGAGCTGGACCTTTGAATGGACAAGCAGATTACTGGTAACAGGACCTTTTGGCTCTGGAGGCTTTTCAGCAGTACACAGGAGCAAGCTGTTCCACTTCCATCTCTTTCTGCGGGTTTGACTCTGGGCAGATCAGTGGGAGCCATTAAGATAGATGAATATATCATCACCAGGTTAACCTGCAAATGAGGAGCAAATGATTATTTAAAAATTTTAGGAGGAAATAAGGTTTCTTTAATAATGAAAACTGCCATCACACTAACATGCTGTTAACTGTCATACCTCACAGAGCATCAGCATAACAATTCAGATCTCCTGACTACAGTATGATTGACTGTATTCCCTAGGCTGTACTTTACATCCCTATGACTATTTTGTAACTACCAATTTGTACTTCTTAATCCCTTTACCTTTTTCACGCAGCCCCCCCAGCCTTTCTCCCATCTGGCAACCATTAGTTTGTTCTCTGTATCTATGTCTGTTTCTGTTTTGTTTGTTTATTTCGTTCTTCAGATTCCACATATAAACGAAATCACATGGTGTTTGTCTCTGTCTAACTTATTTCAGTCAGCACAATACCTTCTAGGTTTATCCATGATGTCACAAATGGTAAGATTTCATTCATTTTTTATGGCCAAGTAATGTTCCATTGTATATATGTACCACCTCTTCTTTATCCAATCATCTATTGGTGGGCATTTAGGTTTCTTCCATAGCTTGGCTATTGTAAATAATGCTGTAATGAACATAGGGGTACATGTATCTTTTTGAATTAGTGTTTCGGATTTCTTCGGATAAATATCCAGAAGTGGAATTGCTGGGTCATGAGGTAGTTCTTGTTTTAATTTTTTTGAGAAACCTCAAAACTGTTTTCATACTGGCTGCACCAATTTGCAGTCCCATCAATAGCGCATGAGGGTTCCCTTTTCTCCATTTTCCCTCCAACACATGTTGTTTGTGATTTATTGATGATAGCCATTCTGACAGATGTGAAGCGATAGCTCACTGTGGTTTTGATTTGCATTTGTCTGGTGATTAGTGACTTTGAGCATCTTTTCATATGTCTATTGGCCTTTTTATGTTCTCTTTGATGAAATTTCTATCCAAGTCCTCTGCTTATTTTTTAATTGAATTGTTTTGTGTGTGTGTGTGTGTGTGTGTGTGTTAAGTTGTATGAGTTCTTTATAAATTTGGATATTAACCCTTTATCAGATGTGTCATTGGTGAGTACCTTCTCCCATTCAGTAGGTTGTCTTTTTATTTTGTTGATGGTTTCCTTTGCTACGCAAAACTTTTTAGTTTTATATAGTCCCATTTGTTTCCCTTGCCTGAGGAGATATATCAGAGGAAGAAAAAAAAAACATAGAACAATATCAGAGCGTTTATTGCCTGTGTTTTCTTTCAGGAGTTTATGGTTCCAGGTCTTACATTTAAGTCTTTAATCCCTTTTGAGTTTATTCTTATATACAGTATAGAGGTCTATTTTTTTTTTTTTTGCATGTATCTGTCCAGTTTCCCAATATCATTTATTGAATAGACTGCCTTTACCCTATTGTATATTCTTGCCTCCTTTGTCATAGATTAAATGGCCACATAGGCATGGGTTTCCTTCTGGGCTCTCCGTTCTGTTCTATGATCTATGTGTCTGATTTTATGACAGTATCATGCTGTTTGATTACTATAGCCTTGTATAGTTTGGTATCAGGTAGCATGTTACCTCCAACTTTGTTCTCCTTTCTCAAGATTGCTGTAGCTATTAGGGGTCTTTTGTGGCTTAATTTGTGAATCTTCATTATTAAAATTAGATGATCCTTATAACTGAGAGTGACCAGAAGTCTATGGTGTCCTCACAAATTTTCTTCCAGAGCAAGGGAAGGAGATCCATGTAAAAGAGCCTATTTGGAATGGTTGTAGAAAAATAAGGTGGTTTCCCATTTAAACCCTAGCAGATGCAAGCCATTCAATCAACATGTTACTGATTGGATGGATGGCTGAGAAAAATGATCATAAAAGAATTCTACCTATGGGCATCTGTATGTAAAGTTGCCTTGTAGGCTCTTACTGCCTACAGGCCAGTTTGGCAGGCACGTAACCATAGAAATGGCCTAGAAGTCAGATATGTTCTAGTAATCTCTGCACATGACTATAAATATGCACATATATGTGTTTACACAGGAATTCACCGAAATATCCAAGAGAGATTTGGCTGTTAAACTGTTCTTCCAGCATACTTCAAACCCCAAAGTAACAATCATGGGCTATAAGGAATCAAAAAGTCACTTAGAATCTGAAGAATTTATGTAGTCCAAGTTACCAAAGATAGCTTTCTCCAAGACAGTTTACAGGATGTCCCTCGTTCATCTCAAGTTTCATTGCTGGGTTCCAAATCATGAAATGCTCGAAGCTTGAAGCATGAAAAAAGAGTAATCGTGTTTGGGGAAGTTACAAGGGAGGTGAGGGAACCCAAGAGAGTTAGACTGCTGGATATAGACACAAAGGAAGGAGAGGGCTAAAGAAGAAGAAACAATTAATAGTCTGTTGGAAATCAATTGAGTGTCCATCTGCTATTGACCGTCATTGTAACTCTGATTACAGGTAATTGGTATTTGGCTGAGTAGATAATTAGGCTGGCCACAGAATGAAAAGAAGCAAAGGACTGGTGAATTTATCCTGCATCCTGGTTTTCTCCTCTTTCTCAAGCAGAGTTTGAGGACTTGGGAGGTGGCAGGCAGAACCTCCCACAGCTTCTGGAGAGGGGAGGGTATTTACAGAGCAATGACACCACCTGACTCAGAAAACAAATGAAGCAGTACCTGAGAAGAGAAATATTCATCTACAGACCTTAATTATAAGAAGCAAAGGCAGTAAGAGCTCATGGCTCTTTGGGAACAGTTTGAAATATCGCTTCTGTGCAAATGAAGTCATTAGTCTGAGGGAGCTATTTTCTGACGATTCAGGATGCACATCTACAATGATGAGACCAGTGAGCCCAGGTTGTACCTGCACCTCCAGTGCTGGAACTCATCTCCACTGACACAGCTGAACTTAATACCCAGTTGAGACTCTCATCCCTTGGTAATCATCACTTTGTAGGACTGACTAGAAAAATGATTAGTTAAAATTTAGATAGTTCTTGTTTTTTGCCAAGTAAATTTATTTTCACATGATAACACATTTACAACAACCCTGGGTGTGTGTGTGTTGTTGTTGATGAGGAAACCGAGGCAAGGAAATCCAAGGTTGAAATGTTTAAGTGCCTCTGACTGTCTGTCCGTATGTCCATATGTCTGTCTCTCCCTCTCTCTCTCCCTCCCTCCCTCCCTCCCTGAGTAGCCCCTGGATGATGAGAGTCGCATAAAATAATGTTTTCAGTTTGCATGGAGGAAAGCAGAATTCAAAATGACTTGATAAAGTTGGAAGTGTCAGAATAAAATTCAGTGAAGAAAAGCACATAAGTAGGGAGGAGAAAAAGTTTATAAGTAGATAGAAAATGATAGACTACAGGTAAAAGAGTCATTCGATAATGTCTAGTAGGGATGGTGTGACTGAAGCTTCCCTAAAGTGAGAATCTTGGCAATATGTCTAAAAGGAAAAATACATAGACGTCCTGTCTGTAGTGGCTGGTCTATGAGCACCACCCATATATGCTGAGCCTTTCCATTTGCTTCCAGCTGCCAGTTTGTGCAGCTCTGGGGCTAAAGCCTCTCTCTTCCATCCTGAGCAAAGCAGTACAGCCTGGGACAAGATAGGCTGGCAGTTCTGGTGAGTTCACACCCCAGGAGCAGCTCTCCACCCACTGATCTCTCTGAAGGGGCAGCTCCTTCACTCCCTAAGTGAGATAATTCTGAGGCACATGTTTTATGCCTTTTCTCAGAGTTCCCCAGCAGGATTGAGCCTCTGTCACACACTATTCTAACTGGCTACTTCAGTCTTAATTAGTTGTCTTCCCCTCAGTGTGTGTCACTCCCCTACTTCCCTAACAGTTGTCCCTGTACTTCCCAGATAAACTCCTTGCACCCAATCCTTGCCTTAGGGTCTGCTTCAGGGGCAACATCCAACTTCAAGAATGCATCAGTCAGGGTATAGGTGAAAAAGTGAATCCACCCCAATGGCTCAAATGAAGACACTTCAATGCAAGGGATGCTTAAGGGTTAAGGAAGCAAATAAAAGATGGGGAGGCCTGCAGGGGCCAGAAACAGCATGTAGCCTTTCCTGTCTCTAGGTCCAAGGGGACATGGGTACTAGTGTTTTTCCAGGTGCTGTGATTGTGGAGGAATAATACTACTCCTTTCAGAGACAAAGTGCCCAACAGAACAGGAGAAGGAAAGAAATACCCCAACTTGTGTCTCCTCCTGCCTTCACATCAGCTGCCAGCACCTCCTCCCATGGTCACACCCTTCCAGATACCAGTCACCAAAGGAGTCTGGGCCAAGTGGTCCACATGGGTCAACCTCTGAGGGCAAAGAAGGGCAGATATTGGATTTGGCAGAGCACACAGAGAATAAGTAGCCCACATGGTATTCCTGCTTATCCCATTAGGGTCTTGGCTTGGTGATACCACATCAGATTCTAGATTCTATTACTGAAGAACTTGGAGAGCCTTTCTTAGCCACTATAGAGGTGATTTAAAAGTTAAGGCATTAAGGCCTATTAAGGAAAAATCAAGCCTCAAATAGCTCAAAGAAAAGAAACCTGAAGGATCGATCGATTAATATTGTCCATTGCACGTAGCAACACTTTTCTAATCAAGGAGATGGGTTCTAGCATAATAGATTTTTTCATCAGAAACTTCAAGGGCAGGGGTGGAAATAATGCAGGCAGAATGGGGCCACACTTCAGAACATAGAAAATGCAATTGACAGATGAAATGTTCAGTAAATAAGTAGTAGCAGAATTAACAGCTGACATTTATTGAGCATCTGGCTATGTGCTAAACACTATGCTGTGAGCACTATAAGTATTACCTCTTGAAATCCTCAAAACAGCCAATTACATAGATATTGTCCCCTTTTAGTTAGTTTGCTAGGGCAGCTGTAACAAAGTACTGCAAATTGGCTGGCTTAAGCAGCAGAAATTTATTGACTTACAGTTCTAGAGGCTAGAATTGTCTGAGATCAAGGTGTCAGCCGGGTTAATTCCTTCCGAGAGCTGGGAGGGAAAATGCTATCCCATGCCTCTCTCCGAGCTTCTGATGATTTGCTGGCAGTTGTTGGCGCTCCTTGGCTTGTAGGTCTCTGTCTTCATCTTTGCTTGGTGTTTTCCTTGTCTGTGTGTTTGCATCCAAATTTCCCCCTCCTAGAAGGACACCAGTCATATTGGA